CGCCCCAGCACAGGAATGCGGGCAACACCTTCCTCTGCGGCACTGGTGCCTGCAGAGCCGGGCAGCGATCCCCTCGCGCTACGGCTCTCAGTTGGCTCTCCTACGTTTGCTCGAGTTTAGTGCGCTCCAGGGCGGTGCTGAGCAATTCACTGTTGTAGTGATGGTTGGATTTGGACACCAGGTGGCCTGAAATTCATGCAGGTGCAGCGGCAGCCGGCCCCCACGGTTGGGTTTTGGTCTATGGTGGACCAAAGGGCTGCGGTGGCGTTTACTCCTCGGTGAATCTTCTCTGCATCTGTGACCCTCTGAGCATTTGCTCAAAAAATAGTTACTCCTGTCGGAACTCATATGAGTGATTAAACTGAGTCTTATATTGGAAACATGCAGTGTGGCGCTCATTTGTATCAGCGAGGCGCAGAGCTCGACCGCGGTCTGCGTCACCCCTGTCCTAGAGCTGTGCCGAGCACGGTGCTCGCAGGCGTCGCTTCCTGGCACCCTTGGGTCCTGTGGTCAGGTGGTCTTCATGAAACGTGTTTTCCTCTGCATCACCTTAACCCAACTGGAATACAAAAAATAGTAATTTCCTAAATTACTCCTCCAGGCTTTACCAGGAGCTGAATTGCGAACGAAGGAATTCCTGTTGTGAGAGTTTGGGGTGAATTAACGTGTGAGATGGGCTGACTGCAGCCGCGCTGCTGGCAGAGGGGTGATTGCCAGCCCCTTTGGTCTTCTGGGGCAGTGGGAGCTCTTCTTGAAGGCAACTTGCCTGTTAACCTGGGGTTCAAATAAATGGAGAAATGGCTGTCATTTCCCCTCTGACATACTGGATGGGTGTCATGACATATATGATTGAGATAAATTATAGTTGCAGTATTTCTTAATGCGCATTTCAACACTTTTGCTGATTTCTAAGGTTGCTGATCTTTTTTTAACTTCCATTTCAGTTAGCCACGTGTTCTGGGCTGCCTGCCTCGTGTCTTTTCCCAGTTTCGCTGAAGGAACTCCTCCAGCTTTGCAGGGCTGCGAGATCGGTTTGAAAGGCCAGAAAAATGCCAGAGGTGAAAAATTGTCCTTTGAGGAGTTCAAGCATTCAAAGTGTAGTTTTACCTCTCGTTCGTCATGAGGAGCATTAAGTGGAGTGCTGATGCCAGTGGTAGTTTTGTCGTGCTGCTGTTCGTGGGAGAGTGCGCGGGTATCCATGTGTGTGCTGTGCCTGCCTGGCCGGGCCGGGGAGGAGGCTGCGCTGAGTTCCTGCGCTTCGTGGGAACTTACGATCATGGCTGTCCTGGTATTTCAGAAGCAAAAGTCATAAAAAATGAACCTATACACTGTCCTCTAAAAAAACGTTAAAAGTACAGCCTCCAGTGCCGCTCCCTGGGAACCCACTGCAAGCCAGTGGCTGTCACTGGGAGAATGGTCTGCTCCTTGACTTTGCTTTAAAATGTGGCTTGGCTGCATGCTTGTCTTCCTGATCAACAGTATCTATCACAATGAAGGTCTAGGGAAGAAAAGTTACGCTGGATAATTGGTGTTCACTTAATCAGAGGTAGGGGGAGAGTGCAGCACACGGGCAACATTCTCCCCAGAAGCTGTAACCCACATCACTCACTTCCAGTTTTCTCTAAAACAGACGAATATACCCCAAAACTTTGTTGTCCTTCCAACCTTGCTTGCTTGCTTTTCGTTTTGTTTTTTGAGCTGATACATTGCCTAACTTCTGAGCTGCTGATGAGGAAACCTGCAGTCTCCTCCTGCTCGTGGCAGCCAGAAAAGCCTCTCTGTGCGTTTAACTTCCTTGATCTTTGATCCAGCGTAATAAGGCTTGCCAGCTTTTCTGAAGTGTGATAGGTACGGTATAGCAGGTTTCAATCAGTCAATAAGGGAGATAAGACAAGCATAAGGAATATATGATAAATGTGAAGAATTGCTGTGTTGGTCTTTTTTTTTTTTTTTAATTAAACAGTAAATAAAGAAAATAAGCCTGTTGAGCAAGGTTGTGCACTTACACACACTTACAACCACAAGGTTGCCTGGACGAGGAGGACAATTTATAAGAATGAAAAATTAGGTTTAGGACAGGAAACAGAAACTAGGCAGGGTGGGAGGGTGATGTGTAAGTTTAGGTAGTGGTACAGAGGGCAGATAATCAGCTTGCAAAGCAAAAGGCCACTAGGTAGGGAGAGTTACCAAAAAATGTATTTGTACTTGAACCACAGCCCTGCTCTTCCCCCTGGAGCCTGTGCTAGATCGACTGCGATAATGAAATGGCAGTTTATAAAAGACTCGGTCAATAAAGGACTGATTAGAAAAGACAAATATATAACAGAAGTATTAGACATTCAGTAAATTCCTTTGCAACAGATCTGTAAAGCACGGCTAAATATAGCAAGTTATTTTTAGACGTTCATGCTAGCTATTTACTGCTGGCAAGTGGAAAACCCATGTCAGTGTGTGAAAAATGCCCTTTGTAAAAAGTGTCAGTATTTCTGAATCCCCACAGCATCCAGAAAGCCTTCAGGGGCACGCGCGAACAACTTGCCATGGGTTAGTGCAGAGCACTGTACGCTGTACTGGGCCATTTTTCAGTTACCTAATGGTAAGCATCTCTCGTTTATGGAGTAACAAGGAGTGCTGTTTTCCTCGCAAGATGCTTGTGTAGATTTGGGACTACCTAGAAGACTGACCGGAAGATTATTTTTTTCCCCTCATTGGAAAAAATCAACATGTTTTTGTGTTCAAGCAGCTGTAGAGTATTTAGGAGTGTTCTGTGAGTCAGGACTCATTACTCACGTTCCTAATGGCACATCTGCGCTCAGTTGGGGTAACTTCATTGATTCAGAGTTGAGGTATTTTGGTGGGACAATGTTTGGGGACTTCATGCAATTAGTACACGCTGTGTAAATACAACAGCTCAGAGCAGAATCCAGCCCCTTGGCCAAACACTTTGTGTGTTGGCTCGTAAAACTTTTCTGCAAGTACAGAGAATCCCCTGGAAGCGGTGGGTCGGGTACCACGTCCAGAACCTCATCTCTGGGTTGGCAGCGTGGATGAACTCCGTCTCCTCCATGATGCAACTCCCTGGGAAATTCTTCAGTGGGAGTCGGTAACAATGGGCACATTCTTTTCCCTTCAGGGATCACAGCCCTCTCTTTTGCATGCTGGAGGAAAAATGGTATTTCTCATGTTCTGCATGTCCTGTTGCTCAGCTCTCCACAAGGAAGTAGGAAACGTTCCATAGTGACCAAGCGTTGGGAAGAAATTTAGGTGCATCCTCATCTGCTGTGCATCAGGGTCTTGCAACATTCCTCTGAAAAACTGGATTTCCAGAGTTCAGTTCCTAACCCTAAAATTTGTCCTTGGCTTAAAATGCTCTTATTTAAGTACAGAATGAACTTTTATTGTCTTTGTTTGCTTATTTGAAAGAAAAAAGCGTGTGGCTGGTTTTGATATTTCTGTTTTCAAGTTGGAGAAAAGGAAAGCAAAATGTAAAAATGGAGCTCCTCCTTACATTTGATCCGTCTGTTTGCATTGCCATAGCTCAAAATCGTTTTGGGTTTTCCTTACAGATTGTTGAAGCTGTCGGTAAGTTGCTCTGTGCAGAACACCTCCGCGCAGCGGTCTGTCGGACACAGAAGCTTGGGAGCGGCTTGTTCCCCCATGGTAGTCTCTGCTGGCTGCTCTTCCCCTAACTGCCTGTGCGTCAGTGCAGGCGGGGAGGCCAGTTAAAGTTGCTTCTCGCCTTCCAGTGTGGGTAGAGTCCTCCTGTCCCCGGGAAGGGGGGGATCTCAGCCCCTGAGATCCTGGAGGAGTGGCGGTTCTCACCCGGCTGTTTCCTAGGGAGAAGTAGAGATAGTCCTGGCTTTACCAACTGCTGCACAGCTAACGAATGTGAAATAATTGGGTCAGCGAGGGGATATTTAGGTATGAATAACCTGTGTGAGGGTACTGGTGGTCTGGTCCTGGCAGATGTGAAGTGTATGCTCTGTGACTGCTCTTTTACACAGTAGGAGGTTTTTTGTTGTTTTTTAAAGTGTTTATTTCTAAAAATCTTACTACTTTCTCCGTGTCTCTGTTACACCCAATGTCATGTTGTGTCCCTGTGGTGTTGGATGAGGCAGTCCGAGCACAGCCCTCCTTTCCTGGTGCACAGGCATCCTGGCGGTCCCTGTAGCTGTCACCAGTGGGTTGTCACTGGCACTTCTGTTTCCATGTACTCAGGGACGTGGTTTCCTCTCTTGGCAAGAGAGGACCATTGCAATCACACAGACAGAAACTTAGATAAGCGCGACCCTTCTCTGAGGAGTGCAAAGCTAATTAAAGATGTGCATCTGTGACATCTCGAGCATTGCGGACCCTCGAGCAGGACCTCCGTGCCCTGTTCTGCAGCTGCATCCGCTCGTCCCCGTGGCAGCGTGAGGTGGTGCACGGAGCTGCATCCCCCCACGGGGTCTGTCCTGCGGCGATGGTTTCCTTCTATTTTAAATTCTAAGCACTGGGGGGAAAAAGCAGAACCACAACCTGTTTTAGGGCTCCTGGTTGTAATCCGTGCTTTTTCAGAGGCCCGCGGCTTTTGCAAAGATAGCACATTTTTTTTGTTTGTAGTCTTCAGTTACCTATGGCTGCTGTGAAAGGTTGAAATGAGAATCCCCACTAGGTCTTTGCTGAGCAGGCTGTGGGGCATGTCCTTCAATAGCTGCAATCTCTGGAAGTGTGTTTATGTGTATATAAATACAACCAGAAAGTTCTTTGTGTACCTCCTAAGACTGGTGCGGCTGTAGCTGGTACTCCTTCCCTCCCTCCTGCCAGGCGCAGCTTGGCCAGGGTTATTCTGTGCAGAGAGATGGGACTTTATTTTTACTAGAAGAGTAAATTATTGTGACCACAAATTGTAAAAGCTGGCATCGCTTACTGAACGCTGTAAGGAAGAAGAGTCTTGGAGGATTCCTGATCAAATTCATTTTGGTGCATTTCCACGGAAACGGGCTGAGCTGTACCAAGAGCAGGCAGGGTCCTTCGGGGCTGTCAGGCGGTGGTGAGGCTTTGCATGCTGTTTGCAGTGATATCCCTGGCTTGGAAGCACAGCGTTACTCCTTCAGCAACGGTCTGGCTCTTTGCACGTGTTCCTGGTGCTGCATGAGCAGGGCAGACCCTGCGGCCGCCCCTCTCCAGCCCACACCCTCTCCCTGCTGCCAGGCTTTGGGTGTGCAAAGCAGGGGGCATTTGACAGCTGTGTGTTTGTATCAGGGGGGGAAAAACTTCCGAGTGTCTGTTAAAATGAGGGAGAACATGGGCTTCTCTCTCCCAGCATGGAGATGTAGCCCCGTTTTTCCACGCAGCTGATCTCTCCCTGCCCAGCTCCAGCTGCTGACCGCAGTGGCCCCTTCCTGCTGTCGAGCCGCTTTCCTGTGGCCGTGGTTCATCCCTTTCTCCCCGGCCCCCCCGCCTTGCCTCGGCCCCTGGTGTCATCCTGCCACCATTCGGGTGCCACCGAGGGAAGGGGCGACTTCCCACCGAGCATCTCTGGGTGGGGGTGCTCTGCATCGGGCCCTGGTGCTGTCCTGGCTGCTGGACCCCGCAGGGACACAGCCCCCTGGGCGTGAGCATCTTCTGTTCCCTCGGTGGCAGTGGTGCCAGCAGGCACTGCTGCAGCTGGGTCAGCTGCCAGTCATCCCTGCATTAATTACCCAGTAAACACCCCATCGCTATAATAACATAGCACCATAGCAGTACCCGATGCTGTCCGTCCTGCGTGTATATATAGGGTTTGTCAGAAGCTGGTGTTCAGCCAAGGCTCTGTACGTGTACAAGGACGAGTCATGTTGGTCCGTAGAAATCTGGTTTCCATTAAATGTTCCTCAGGAGCCATGCCAGGCGTTCACAGCACTAGTTCTCCCGCCGGCTTGTCCACTCCTTTCCTAACCCTAAATCTTCCACAGTTGTTGTTCTATGGTGGGGTCTGCGCACGGTGCCAGGCGGCTGCCCGGCCACCCCAGGGATGTCCTTGGGGGCTGTCACCTTGGCATGGGACAGCGGGGATGGCTGTCTGCCTTCAGCCACCATTAGCTCCGGGCAGTGGGGTGGCATGTTGGGGTGAATGCACACCCGACTTTGCTGAAGGTGAGGATGAGGATGGCTCCCCAAAATGAAAAAAATTCCTTGTCCCAAGTGAAACCAAACGGTGCTGCACTAATTAAGGGGCAGTCGTTTTTTTTTTCGCTGTTAAGCTAATGTGAGATGTGGCTTATAGCACGTGTACCTGGACTTCCTTCAGCTAGAAAACTGGCAAATAAACTTTCAGGCCAGACAACGTTTTGAAAGGAAAATGTAACTGAAATCAGCTATACTGTTTCTTTTTTTCTGGTTAAAATATATTGTGTTTGGCTTTTTCATACCCTTCTCTGCTATTGCCCTATCCCCTGTTTCTATAAAAACCAAAAAGGCACGCAGCTCGCCAAGGACCGTTTCTCCGATGCTGGGGCTAAACGCTGTGCTGACACATGCGATGGAAAAACGGTGCATGCAAATCCTCCGTCCCCGCAGGCGCTGTGAGTGGGATTTGGATGTGCAGCCCTGCTCCTGGCTCACGGGGACGCACGCAGCCGGAGCTGGCCAGTGCCTCATCGCCCGCACCCCGGCCAGCGCATGTGGAGGGCGTCGGACGGATGCCGGC